TCCACAATGACTCATAAAATGACCCAAACCTGTCTACAGTGTCTCACACTTGTCTATAAATACCCAAAACTGTCCATAAGGACTCAAACATGACGAGGATAACTTAAATGTCAACTCAAAATCGTCCACAGTCACTGAAAATTTGAAAAAAGATGTTCCAAAATAGCTTAAAACTGCCTGCAATGATTCAAAAACGGTGGGAAATGACTCAGACCTGTCCATGTGCAGGCACAGCATCCAAAAAAGTTGGTCACAGCCAAAGCTGGGGCTAAATGTCACCTGTTTTGATAGTATTTGGTCCAAAACAAGAGACCAAACTGAAATACTGACATTGTAGAGACACTATATAAAAAGTAAAAGGATCGCCAAAGTTATTAGAATTCCTCCAGGGGCGGGTAGGAGTATTCTAAAAATATTTCATGGCAGTCCATCCAGTATCTGTCCGTATAATTGACAAAAATTAAATGGACCGCCCACAACAGGCCGATAGAGAGAATCCCTCGGCCACATTTGTGTCGCAGCGTGTACAAAAGGTTGCGACACCTGGTGTTTTTGCGGCGTGAGTGATTCTGGGTCTGGGTTAGGGGAAGAGTTGTTTAGACAGATGACAGAGTGTGCATTCTGAGTGAGGCCTGTTGATGCAGGTGTGTGCTTGTTTCAGTGCATATGTCTTCTGTCCTTGGAGAGGCAAATGTATTCTGTACGTGCTTTGAAAATATACTCGGCACATCCAGGATTTCCAACATGTGGCGGCTTTTATACGGTGTGTGTGTGTCGAAATTTCAGATGGGAGTTCTGTGTGTGTGATCCGGTCAAGTGTTTTGGGAGTCGGTCAGTGAGGGGGGAGTTGTGATGTTTTGGAAATTTCAGGATGTGTGTGTCCTGCGTGTGTGTGTGTGTGTGTGCCTTTGCTCACCCACATTTGTGTGTTTTACTGAATGAATCTGCGACTTCGGCCGACTGGGGAACGATCCTGACTACAGAATGCAGCGAATAAGAGAGTTTAGATGCCTCATGGAGAAAGAAAACTAACAAGAGATGATCATTTTTGCTATTTGCCTCAGATCTGTGGAGCATTTTAGCTCATTTTAACTCACTGCTTGGGTTTTTTACTACTTGAAATTCCACTGACCCTGTTTTTCTTCATCAAGAAACTATAATTAAGTCACTGCAAACACAAAATTCATGCACTGATGGCAAAATAGAATTGAATACACTGCAGCTGAACTCATTGCTTTCAAATGTAGATTCTGCTGTCTTCGTTGTTTGTTGGTGGAGTTTACGTCTTTAAATGTGTCTGTGCTGCTCATGTTTGAATTTGAGTGAATCTCTAAGCACCTGGACTCACACGTGTTTCAGCAACATTCAGAACATATCACACATGTTTTTAGCAGATATCAGGAAATCATGTACATCTCAACCACAGCATGCCATGGAAGCTCATTAAAAAGCAAGAATGTGTTTTGGCCATAGCTGATTAAAACATCAATTAACCCAATAAACACTTCGATAAGTAAAGTCAGAAAGCATTCGCCATCGTCTTTCACGTCTTACAATGCTTAATTTTGAGAATTTTGGAGAAAAAAAATGTACCTGCTTGTCCTTTTCCATTCAGTCTGCTCCATAGTTATTAAAATACCAGCGTACAAATTCATATTCATTCATATCTGGAAGTAAACAAAGATCCAGTCCTGCAGAAAACAGACCCACGTGAGGGGGAGGCCTTGTTGCATCTATGAGTTGAACATAAAGTTCTGTGCTTCTTCCATGTTTTAATTTGGGGCAGAGGAGAAATGCACGTGTTCGAAATATCAAAAAATCCACTTAAATGTAAACGTAAAGCCGGAGCATTAATGCTCAGCATACAAAGGTCTATGTCTGATGATTAAATAATATCTGTAACGCTGTGCACCTGAACAAGTTTCCAGGCATTTTTGTTTTTTTGCTTCTGCCACATTTTTACTCACTTTCTCGCTCTTTTATTTAATTTTTACTGCAACATAAAGTCCTACAACTCTATAGAAACAGCAGAAAAATGTCTTCTGTGCACTCAGATGAAATTTTAATACCTTAAATTATATAAAAAAGAAACATTTGTTGGACTATTTCTTTTCAAAAAATTGAAAAAAACTGTAATCGACATGTACTACCTTTTTCTGCAGGCTGACAGGTGTTGCCAATATCTAAAAAAATAAAATAAAATAGTGGCTCCACATGATTTTAACTATTTACACACACATTTTTAACAAACTTTTCCCCACACGGCTCTCCTACAGCTTGCTGACTTGCAGTTTAGTCAAAAACTATCTGAATTTTCATCATGTAAATGTTGCTTGTAGCTCAGTCAACTGACTTCCCAGTTGTGTTGAGATGTGCAGAGTTGTTTTGTTTTGTCACAAGATCTGTTGAGTACAAACGATTTATTTTTAGAGAATTTTTGAACGACACACGTGGAGTGAAGTGATTTTGATGATTTTTTTTTTTTCTATTTTGAGCTTAGATTTGGTTAATTTCCTGAATGGAACCACACGTCTCACACGGCTAGTTCAAGGACTGGTGGAAAATTGCAAATTCTAAAAAGAACATTCTGACACAGTGTGCTGAAGGCTGGATTTTTAGTTTGTTGTCTCGTAAATGTTAATGGAATGTGACTGCAACGTTCTTATTCATGCAACAGAACCCAAACTTTAAGGTTCACTTTAGTTGTACAGGTTGACAATTCAAAATGCTGAATGGCTGAAAATACAGCTTTAAATTCCTTTTTTTGTGAATTCCTTTATGTTTTTTCATGTGTAAGATGATGGATAATTAATATTGTATCGTATTTGATGAGTGTAAAGGAGCAAACAAATGTAAAAGTCTGGCTTGCTTTGAAAAATTGACTTTTTTTTGTGTGAGTTAAAGCTTCAGAAACCATTTTCATTTCTTTTTTTCTTTCTTTTTTTTTTTGTGACCTTGGTTTTCTTGTGTCCTCAGGTGGTGGCTGGACAGACCCCGAGCTGGCCGACTTCGAGCTCCTGGTGATCATGAGCGCCACGGTCGAGCCGACCTCCGCTACCTGCCAGGTGCGGACCTCCTACCTTCCTGACGAGATCCTGTGGGGCTACGAGTTCCCCCCCGTCGTCTCCCTGTCCCCGTCTGGAAAATACGTGGCCGATTTTGCCTTTTTTGACAAAGTGGCCAAAACCAAAACTCCCCCCCTTTTTAAGCAGACCCTGCCCCCGAGCTCCCCGTCGCAGGCGTCCCATTTCCGGGGCGGCAAGGAGGATGGGACGGACCCGGAGAAGATGCGACTGGAGGAGAGCTACAGGGGGGAGGAGAGGGGGAGGGAAAGGGGGCGAGTCAGAGATAGCAGCCCACTCAGTGTTCGTATCAGCAACGTGTGACGGAGACGAACGGAAAGATGATGTGAAACCGAGATAAGGTGAAGACAGGAAGAAAAACAAAACGAGCTGAAAGCCACATTCTCACACAGAAACTGTCACTATGTTCCCACACAGAGCACATGTTTAAGTGGTGGACCACACGGCCACCTGGCTTCTCAGCCACCAGAGCCCTTCACCAAACACAGTCACAGTCAACACCAGGCGGTAGAGAAAATACTGAAGACACCTACAAGCAGCCTCAAAAGGACCTGGCTTGTGCAAATGTGCAGCACAAAGCCAAGTAATCTGCAGAGAAACTAACTGATATTCAATTCATTTTGGGGGAAAGGACTTGATTTACTTCAACACTGCGAAAACCTTTGTCTGAGCAGGCCGTTTTTTTTGTCTTCATTTATTCAAAACAAGTGATAAAAATTCAGGGCAGCAGAAATCATTTAAAGAATTTTCTAGCAACGATATGGATTCTTGAACGGAGAGGAAGAACTCTAAAACCTGGCTTGATTACATGATTTCTGCAGTGAAGGTTGGATGTGTTCATCACTGAATCACAGTACTGTTTTTTTTCTTCTTCTTCTTCTTTTAAATTAATATTAATAATAAAAAACCTGCAACAGGTGGCAAAAATACTGGAACCATGTTTTGGTAAAGAGGGATCTCCAAGGAATGTATCATATTTTATGTACCCAGTAGTTTCTAACAACGTCATTACCTGAAAATATGCTCTTTGATATATGAATGTCCTGTTTTTTTTTTTAAGGTAAATATGTTTAGTAATATTACTAAAAGCACTTTAACTTGAAAGAAAAGTGGCATTTTACACGAGAAGAATAACTGAACTAACTTCAATACTTAATGCACTGTATTAAGTGATTAAACCGTGCGGTTCTGTTGAAAGCTTGTGGGTCCGAGTGTACGTTTACACTTGCAAATGAGTGTGATAATACTTTTTGTACGAAGTTTTTGTGAACTGTTTTATGTACAGTATGTTTTCATGTACCTCTGTACAGTATGTTATAAATATTTTTTCCTATATTCTTAATTTCTGTATGTTTTTGACATTTGGTGCACAGCTTTCCATTATACCATATTAATTGCTGTCAGTGCACGATGTTATTTCTGTAAAGTGCAGTATATATATATATATATGTGTGTGTGTGTGTGTCTTTGTACTGCTGTTATTTTTACATACAGTGGTGTCTAATCAACTGCTTCACTGACATTTTCTCTCTTTTTTTTTTGTTTTTTTTTACTGTGTTTGGAAAACAGAAACAGACACATTCAGCATACATCAAGTTATGGTACCAGTTTAAAGAGACTCCAATTTTCGTAATTGTGACTGAAGTGATTGAAAGGTCAACAAAGTATGCAGAAGAATTAATCATATATATACTTTTTTTTTTTAGCATCCTTTTGAAGATGTCCAAAATATAAAGATATAAATTCTTCACTGCTACCAAAAGTATCTTAATCTGTTTTAAATTTGTGTTCTTGACAATATTATAAGATTAAGTGCCGCTATTCAAATGAAATCATCTGCTGCTCCAAACAATGAAAAATATTCGTCATGAGGGTCCGGTGAGAGTTTGTGTTTACCGCATGGCCGACTCTGTACTGTGTGTTGCCCCAAGTCCTGGAAGCTCATTGGTCTCACTGCTAATGTAGTTTTTAAGTGCCTCTTTTAATAAATGTATTATATGGAACATCAGCACGTCTGTATGTGAGTGCATGAAACAAACTGATTTTTTGAAAAATGTCCTTTCTCATTTTATCTCTCATTATTCACATGCAGGGCTGCAAGGTGGCTCGGTGGTTAACCCACCTCGCAGCAAGAAGGTCGCCGGTTCGCATCCCGGTGAGGACACCCGAGATCTTTCTGCGTGGAGTCTCCATGTTCTCCACGTGCAGCGTGGGTTCTCTCCGGGTTCTCCAGCTTCCTCCCACAAGGTCCAAAAACACGTTGAGGTTAATTGGTGATTCTAAATTGTCCGTAGGTGTGAATGTGAGTGTGCTTGGTTGTCTGTCTCTAAGTGTAGCCCTGTGATAGACTGGTTACCTGTCCAGGGTGTCCCCTGCCTTCACCCTGAGTCAGCTGGGATAGACTCCAACCCCCCTAGTGAGGCTTAAGCGGTGTATAGATAATGGATGGATGGATGGATGTTCACATGTAGATGGAAGCTTTTGGATTATGGATTATTCAACTTGCTGGAACTGGAAGCAAGTAGAAGTTTTCTAACTGCATTCATTCATCAGACAGAAACTGTACACAAGCTAAGCCTAAGATCCTGACGTTTAATCAGAATCACTTCATTCTGCATGTGTCATTTGGCAAAAATAACCACTAGATGCTGCGGTGTGGAGCATAACTGAGAAGCCACCGGTTACTCAGCTGGGATCAACAATCAAGTAACAGCAACTCAGAGGCTATTCGGATGAACTGCAGGCCGTCAGGGGAACAGATGTGGAAACCAATGAGACATATTTAGAGGAAAATGAAACATACTTGATGAACAAAATGAGCGCGGTGTGGCTCAACAGCAGTGAACAGAGGAGCTAGTTGTCAGCAAGTTGTTGGAAGATACATTCTGCATGGTGAAATATCCGTCTAGAGATCATGTACAGAGGAGTGTGGTTTATGCAAACAGGATGTTGTTTCATGTGCAAAGTAGTTCGAAAAATCTTTTATAACGTAACCTTACCGGTGAATTATTGCATTGCTGTGTTATATGTAAACGCCTCCAAAGCTACAACTTCCATCACTGTTGCTGTCAAATCCAGCTGAACTTTGCTTAGTGAAGTTAAATGTCAGCTTAATGTGAGCTGCTAAAAATACTCCAGATGACTGCAGATGCATGTTGCAGATGCTTGTTTTGCAGGGATAGGTAACACTGTTTAAAAAAAAAAAAAAGGTGACAGTGTGAATACCGACTTCCTGTAAACAAGCAACCACAGTGAGCCAAGAGTGCAATTAATGTTACTAACTGGTTATTCTCTGTGGTAAATACGAGTAGACTTATTAATTTTTCTGTCTGTGTTCTATCAGCTGCTGTACCAGAAGTATAAAATGGACCTGGCAGCAAATCAGGACGAAGGATAAGAACATATTTGTGCTTTTTCTACATCAGCAACTGAATGCATGAAGGTTCCCCTGGCAGGGCGATGCATGCAGTTTGTGTACTGTTTGGAGATGTAGTGTATTGCTTCAACTCAAACTCACCAGTCGAGAATATGATCAGGAAAGGAACTGGTGAGAAGGTGGCACATCTTACAATTGATTTGAATCCAGAACTCTCCTCCAGAGCAAGTTAGCTGAACAGCATCAGTTACCATGGTGATGAAGTCAGGTTTAAAGAGAGCAGCCTCAGTGACACTGAACACTCTTTGACTTTTGCTCAACGTCTGCTGGAAACACATGAATCTCACTTTGTAGTGCGAACCTCTGGTTGTGGCTGAGTGAAATAAAATCCCTCCTGTCTGACTGAAACTTCAGTCTGGTCTGAACATGGCTCAACGTTTGGCACAAGCAGGGATCAGGTGTTGGCCTCTCATTCAGATCTACACTCCCTTCCGCTCACTACGCTCGACCAACAAAAACCACCTGATACAACCACAGCAACAGACCTGAGGTCAATAGCCAGACTCTTCTCCTCTGTGGTTCCGCGGTGTTGGAAGAGTTACCAAACTCTGTTCAATCTGTTGACTTCCTCTTAGTCTTTAAGAAAAGACTAAAGACCAGCTCTTCACTGAACACCTTTGCACCTGACAGCCCGAAAACAAACAAACAAACAAACAAAAATCCTCCCACACAGCCTGCTGTTGGCATCAGCGCCCCATCACACTTGAATTTGTTCTGTGGCACTTATCTAGATTGTTTTCTCCTGATTAGATCCTTGCTTGTGTTGTATCTGCTCTCAGATGTACGTCGCTTTGGATAAAACTGTCTGCTAAATGAAATTATGGAATTGTTGGTCAATGAAACGCACATTCCTAATAGGTTGACTTTAAGGAAGCATTTCTGCTGCTATTTGTAAAATCCTGTCTTATGGGAAACACCTGCAGTGTTTTGTCACCTGATGAGGCCCCAGCCTTGTGGTTTTGTTGCTAAAACTGAACTTCCTGACGTGCGAACTGTGACTCATTTTGCTTCATTTCATGAAGCACTGTGATGGTTTCTGCTTAAATGCAGCTGTAGTTTAACTAAAATTATTTCAAAAAGTATGCCAAAAGGAAGTGCTCTATCTGCATAGAAAATGAAAAAATACAAGAGGTTGTCTTATCATTGTCTTCTCCTGAGAGACTCGAGAGCACAGAAGATGCAATTTGCACAACACATATTCATCAAAAGAACATGCACTCTCTTTTCAGATACAATTTTAGCTTATTGCTGCAATACTTCTTGACTATTTATTTTGACCAATGAAGCTGACTCTGACTATCCTGTTCATGCATCAAATTACAGTGCAAAATCTTCTATATCACTGTTATAACATTGCTCAACACCTTCATGGTAATTTAACATAATGTACACAATATTTACCTCAATCATGCTCTACTGCAGTCATACTGTTCTCTATTCTATTGTAAACTTTGTGGTGTCAGTTCATTTTTTAGGCCACGCATAGCTAAGAGGCAGAGTTTTCCTTCGTTCTAGTATGTACTGATGCTGTACGAGCATAGACAAAGGTGAAAACTTTAAACCCAATAAAGACAGACAGTTTGTATTTTAAAGTGTGATCAAGGTTATTGTTGTTGCTGTGACGCATTCAGAGTAGAAACTTGTTTTGCTTGCTGCACTAACCACAGGAAACCGCACAGTCACATTGTTTCTTTCAAACCCTCAAGGCACAGTTGTTTCCCCGCCTTCAGCTTATTCCATTCTATGTAAAAATACATACATACTTAAAATATCATAATTATATATATATATAAATTTCAAATTGTCCCAGCCTAGGATCTTTCTGCGTGGAGTTCTCCACGAGTTCTCACCAGGTTCTCCGGCTTCCTCCTACAGTCCAGTAACATGTTGAGGTTAATTGGTGATTCTAAATTGTCTGTAGGTGTGAATGTGAGTGTGCTTGGTTGTCTGTCTCTAAGTGTAGCCCTGTGATAGACTGGTGACCTGTCCAGGGTGTCCCCTGCCTTCACCCTGAGTCAGCTGGGATAGACTCCAGCCCCCCACGACCCTAGTGAGGATTAAGTGGTGTATAGATCATGGATGGGTGGATGGATGGATGGATGCAGTTCTCATGATTTTGTGATGTAGAGAAACATTTCACACATTGTTACAAATGTTTTCTTACAAGCTATAAAAAAAGGAAAAATCGTAATTATTTTCTGTGAAATAAGTTTTTTTGTTTGTTTTTTAACTTCCTAGAGACTTACCTGAACACATGAGTATAACGAGGACACACACATGCAGACGGTTCCCTCACCACAACACAAGAAAGTCATTGTGAAGTAAACAGGCTCAATGATGAACACAGCAACATTAATTCTACAGTCAGTGAAGCTGCAGAGAAGCATTTAAAGTAATTTTAACACATTTTGTGTGTCTTCTCATTTGTTAGAACTTTTGTTTCCTCCCTTATTCTTAGGTTGCAGATATCGAGCTGCTTCCTGTAAGATACTGAAGGTTGCCGTCTTTCCTTTGCTGCAGTCACAGCTTACTGCACAACTTCAACTCTGTGAAGCTTGTTTCCTGTCTTATACTTTGACAGGAGGTACACAGAGAGGATTCTGAGCAGATTTACGATGCTTCTTCTGCTTCTTACTTGTTGGATTATTACAGGTAAGATCAATAAAGAATCTTTTACCCACTCTTAATGTTAAATGTCGCGATGAGTTAATCTGCTTCGTAGGTAGAGATTTCATGAAGAAAATGGTACTAAGATTTCTCTAACGCAGTAAGGCTTTATAAATGATAGCAGGAAATGCTTTTGTAGCTGCGAGCAAATTGTAAAGATGGTGATTGAAAATGCTGGTCAACATGTAAATACACTGTAGAATCAAATTTTCTGCTGGCGTTTAGTTTTGTTCTTCAGACGTTTTCAGTTTGGAAAGAGATTCAGTTTTATATCACATTTATCTCAATATATCTTTTGTGTCTACAGAAGGCTTTTTAAAGGTGTAATAATGTATATTTTTCTTTTACTGCAATGTTTCCTATCAGGGATCGTGACAGAGGTTCCGTCGATGATACATTATGGACAGAAAAACAGCTCCATGTGTCTGCATGTCCAAAAATCATCTCCCAATAAAAAAGGTGTAAAATGGACACTCAAAGAGAAAGTCATTGTTTTTGAAAACGCCATCAATCCAAACTTTACAAAGAAAGTGGTTTATAGTCCTGGAAACCTCTCCTTGTGTCTAAATGAGCTGACTGACACAGACAACGGCATCTATGAAGTCTCATTTATGGACTTCTTTACGACAATATCAGAGACACACGAGGTCATTGTTGAAGGTGAGTTCCATGCTGCTCATACATTTTTGAATTTAGTAGCATTTACCAAAAACACTTGCTCAAACATGACAGAAAACATTAAGAAATCATCATCGTCACCAGTGGCACCTCCAAAGGGGAGCTATTGCTGTGGCCACACCAGATCTGATCAGTCCAGTTTATTAGCTGAAACTCTGGTGTCCAAGCTTCAGTCAATGTGACAACAGTGTCAGAGTGCAAGTGAACGCAGCATTAGATGAAATAACAGGCAGCAGCAGCCAGTCAGCCTTGCAGCCCATCAATAAACATCACGGGGAGGATTTTACAAAAACCTGTCGTGTATGTTTGTTGGCCTTTAGTCTTTGCTCTGATTTTAATGAATACATATATTATCGAACAGCAGTAGGATCCAAATGAGCGTCTCCAAAGTCACAGTTGTGGACATCTTCCTACTTAAAATTATACGATATCCCCAACATGGAGACAGGATCAGTCAGGATCTAACTTTAAATCTCATCATGTACTTTTCTTTACATTCATTTATTTTTTAATCATCTGAATCCTGGGCTCAGTCACAGTTTGATATTATAATTTTAATGTATGGACCTCTGTTACAGTACCTACAGGTAGCCCAGTAACAATAAAAACACATTTTATTGCATTGTAAGTTGCTGTAATTTGACAAATCATACACAAATCACAAATTAACTGAATTTTTACCATTAAAATGATAAATTAACTATGGATTCTGTGCCCATGGATGACTTCTTTCTACCCAAATGCACAGCAGCTGCTCTTCTCATGAGCTATTTTGCACAGTGGTCATTGTAATAATATAAATGATAACTGTCTATGTTAGTCCGTGCACCTCAGATGATTATGAAGCAAGATTAACTGTAAAATCAGAAACCAAAGTATATGATATTTCTCACTTCTCACATTAACATATTTGACCTTTGTTTTTAAGTGCTACCCCATGACTTTCAGTGATCCCATCTTGCCACTGATAATATTCGGGAGGCACCACTGATCTTGGAACACAATATTGCAAGCAGTTACATTTTTT